CTGTAGTCCCGTCCCGTTTTATATTATATCCGGAACTTGATCATTGTGCGGGCATATGCAGCCTGATTGCGGACCGGTCGTGTGGTCTGTCGTTTAGAGAGCTCCGCTGGCTATTTAAATTGAGGTGCAAGTTGCTATTCTTAAATTACACTCCATGGATGGAAAAAGTAGTTGAATTGTGCCCTCTATGTAATTCCAGAGCGGTGGAAAAAAAAAAAAACCAAAAAAAAAAAAAAACCTAGCGCAGGTCTGTGACTTAAAAGGCTGAGAAAATATGCATTTTCAAAGGTGTCCATTTTTTCGTGCAAAAACCTCGTGGTTTTATTTATTTATTTTATTTTTTATATTTTAGTTTTCTATTCTACCGCAATTTTGTCCTCTAACTTGAATCCTACCCAAGCTACCTCTAACATCCAAGAACAGCTTGAGCTCATCGAAGGTTGGTGCAAAAAGTGGAGGACATGATTAAACGGAGAAAAGTGTATCCAATGTACGTTCACTTTGAAAAAGCACTCTTGCCCTCCATTATACATCAACAATGAAGAGATACCGACGTCCACTCAAGTCAAATACCTAGGACTACACTTTGACAGCAGACTGACGTGGAATCCCTACACAACACTTAAAAGACAACAACTCAACAGAAGACTTGGACAATTACGCAGACTACTAGGACCAAAATCCGGGTTGACCATCAGCAACTGACCTTATACAAGACTTTACTGCGACCACTTTGGACATACGGTGTGGAACTGTGGTACGCCAAACCATCCAATATCCAGCGTATCCAGGCCTTCCAATCTAAAATCCTGAGACAAATCGACAAAGCTCCTTTTTACGTCTCTAACCTCACTATCCACAAAGACTTCAAAGTTCCTTTTGTCCACGAACTGATCCATTCCCGATTCCAAAAATTTCATACCAACCTATCGATCCATCCTAACCCTACCGCTAGAGCCCTCTCGACTTATTCCCATCCCGAGAATCCACCACGTCGCCTAAAACGACGATGGCCCCGAGACCTCCTTGCCCCCTTAATCCTTTAAAATGAGTGCCAGCACTGACTGGCATCTCATGGCATGCGCCCTCCGGGTGCAGCGCTGGCATCAGTGTTAGTGCTGTGACCGAGCTGTGAACAATATACATTGTGATCACATTTGTATTCTGTACAAGTATGTATAGGCTACAAATAAATAAATAAAACTTTTTTAATTGTTTTATTTTGGATAAGCGGTGTATTTTTATTTATCTAAGATTCATTTATTTAAAAATTCTAGAGAAGAATTTTGCAGTTTGCCGGACTTTGTAGTTCTTAATGAAAAAATCTTATCTCTGACAAAAATAGCATATAATAAGAGAATGATAAAGCAAAACAAAATATTATATACTAAATTAAATATAATTAAAATATAAATTTACTTGTAAAATTCCTTGACAGCTTGGGGCAAAGGCCAGCAAAAATACCATTTAATTAAACTATCAAAAAAGTAATAAACCAAGTTCTTGTACTACTTTAATTGCCAAAATATCATTTTTTTTGTAACGACAGCTTTCCTAAAGATCCAAATTTTTCCCTTATTTAAGTTAACATTCAAGCACCAAGTTCTTAAAAATGTTAATATTTCTCGTAATTTAAGGTGGTTTTCGCACATGAGAACAACGGCTTCAGCGACTGTACTTTAATGTTTGCTTACGCTCTTCGATCATGTACTTAAATTGAGCAGGAAAGGATTGGTTTGTATATAAGGCCAAATAAACAAACTTTTAGTGATGAATAGGAAAGGTTTCGGAGCCAAAACACATCTTGGCCCAGTTTACTCCAACATGCGGATGGTTGAGGTTATGATAATAATAATAAAGCTGTATAAGTATTAGAAACATGTTTTCCTGGCCAAAATAAATATTACCTTCAAGCTCTACTAACTACTAATCTTCCTGAATAGGGTTGGGTTAATCTGAAAAGGGAAAAGATTGGTCCAGCTTACTACCGCCCCATAGGTAATTGTATCTCAGACAGAAGGAGACAGAAAGAAAATAAAGGAACTATAGAATTCACTCATTGGAGACAGGCGAAAATAAAATAAATTACATAATGTGTCAAAACAAGCGGGAATAAACTGCGAATCCTAACTGGACTCTTAACAGGACACTGCAAGCTAAATGGACATTTAAAGAAGATTGGAATAATCCAAGACGGCACATGTAGATTCTGCAAAGAGGCAGAGGAGACGCCAACACATCTACTAACAAACTGCGGTGCTATACTTGCCCGCAGAAGGAAGTGTTTTGGGATGTGACCATAGAAGAGATTCAACCACTGAAACCAGGCCTAGTAATCAAGTTTCTTGATCAAATAGGACTCACCGATGTGGTTTAGGCAGAGAACGGGGGATACGATAGCTCATAGAGGGTGCAGTATATTATACCCCGACTGTTACATCTAAATCTACATCTACATAGGTACTTAAATAACATCATCAGCAGCTCGTACTCCCTCGTCAAAACAAATAGGTAAATCGTTTGAAAAATAAAAAATAATGAAGGGTTCCATATTTAACGCTGTGTATAAGAATTAGGAATGCCCATTTGGTCCTCTTATAGCTGCTATCAATATCTTCCTATCTAATCATAAACACTTATGCATTTAACACACAAAAACCAACAAGACGTTCCTGAAATTGTCATTACTTTAAATTCCACAAAATAGATTTTCCAGATAACCTTGCGCCCATGAATAAGCATAGAAACTGAGTGGGCCTTGGAAGGTTCCATGGTTTACCAGGTAGGTGGAGATGTCTTTGGTAGCAATGGTCTTACCTAGCAATAGTACGAAGCATACCCTCGACAATATGTTGCACACTAGTCAAGGAAAACCTAACAATTGTATATCTTTTCATCACAGTTTTTCCTGTGGCGATTCAGGCTAAAAGTCAGGCAATTTTGTTTTTCAGTATTAAGTGCTATTTGAATGGAAACGATCTTTTATTTCAGACAGACTTTCAATTAGTAGTAACATATCACAGTCGGTCAAAAAACTGGAATGGTTTTCTAATTGATGTACGTGATTTTATCACTGATCGTGGTCACATAATTTACCAAAATAAACAATATTGGGTCGAAAACTGAGCCCTGTAGAACCCTTTCCCGTTGGGGTCACTGGTGACAGTGACTAGATCCACCTGTTCTCGCTGATTTACGTGACTTGTAAAATAAAATATTAATATAAATTATGTCAAATTTATAATAGTCGGACTATGTGAGATTTCTTTTTATGATGTGCGGAGTGATAAAAGGAAGTTATTGTTTTCCGATCGTTTGAGTCTGTCTATCTTCGCTGTTTTAGCCTGTCAGACTATTGGATTTTCGTCATTTTCAGTGTATGTGTGTGCGAAACGTTTCTGTCACACGAAAAAATATTGAGGTTAAGCGTACCAAACTGATCGGAACGACTAAACTACAATTCTATTCCTTTGACTTGAAAAATGGTTCAATTTGGAATTTGTGAAGAAATCTTTTCTTTACTAAGGGCAGGAAAGTTAAAAACAGCGAGGATAGGAAGACCAAGAAAATGACCGAACTGCAATTTTATTTCTATCAAAATCGCACATTTTGGAGTATTCTGTTCGTTTATTTATTAAAGGGAGGAAAAGTTAAAAGCTGTGTGAGTGAACTGGTAGTCGACTGGAGACCAAACTAGAATCTTTTTTCCCATAAAATGGATCATTTTAGATTTTGTGAAGGTTCCTTTTTTATTAAAGGTAGGAAAGTTAAAAACTGTGCGGGCTGTAGACCGAAATGAACGTTAACGACCAAACAACAAATTTTATTTTCAATGAAATGGATCATTTTGGATTTTGTGAATGTTTCTTTCCTTCATTAAAGGTAGGAAGGTTAAAAATCTGAATTGACCAAACAGTTTTATTTCCCACGAAATGGCTCTGGTTTCTTTCCTTTATTAAAGGATGGAAGTCGAAAACTGTGAGGGCTGGTAGTTGACTGGTATGGTCGGAGACCAAACTACAATTTTATTTTCAATGAAATGTATCATTTTGGATTTTGTGAAGGTTCCTTTCTCTATTAAAGGAAGGAAAGTTAAAAACAGCGAGGATTGGAAGACGAAGAAAATCTGAAATGAGTAAACTACAGTTTTAATTCCCAAAAAATGGCTCTGGGTTGTTTCCTTTATTAAATGAAGGAAAGTAAAAACAGCTAGGATTTTAGACCAGAATGTCAGAATCTAAAATTTTATTTCTAACAAAATTGCATAGTTTGGAATTTGTGAAGTTCCTTTTTCTTTATTAAGGGAAGGAAAATTATGAACAGCGAGGATTAGTTAAGCCAAAATGGATCGGAACCGACCATTTTTGTTTATTGCACAAGCCATTTGGGCAAAGCAAACAAATGAAAATAGTGGGTAAGTTGAAAATAATAGCCATAATCACTGAAACCAATTAAAAGTCATTAAGGCTGGGAAAGATAAAATTTTAAAAGCTTATGCAATCGAATGAGTACAATTATCAGTGTGTAAAATATAGATCCTTTATAACTTGTTCACTCGCTGGACAAACGTTAAAACGCTTCTAACAATAATTTCACTTTTTAAACTGGACAATTCTCTCGCGGGCAATTAAGGCCGCGCCTTACCGCGTTTTTCCTCGGTAGATAATGCGGTACACGAACCGGCGACAACACGCGGAACCGATTTGACCGAGTACGGTTTCGTTTCGAATTGTGAGATAATTATCACCTCTCGGTCCCACCCAGCTCAATTACGCTTATGAAAGGACACAAAGGGGTAAAAGGCAGTAAAAATTAAAAGTCTATATGGAATTCTTGGTTATGACCGGTTAACAAGGTATCAATAAACTCGTTTCCTTATTGCTCTCGAAAAGAAAATTCAATTAAACTTTTTTCCCTTAAAGGTAATGTTTTGTTACATTTCAAAAGTCCTTGTGAATGGAAACATTGTTAGATTCGACATAAAATGATAAATGGTTATTAAATGCATGCATTTAAATAATTGCCTTTATTAATATTAGTTAAATACAATACATAGCCTTGGTATAACATTTGTTATTTATAATTGTAAATATTATGCTCCATTTGCAGCATAAAAAATAAAGCGACACCCATGGTAAACAAGTAGTAATTAAGCTCATTTCTACACGTCAGGTAAACCGAAAAATAAGAAAATGGTAGACTACGTATGCAAGAATTGGAAAACTCGGGTCAGTATGAGTTTAAAACTGTTAATTTATCCCTGTAATTTATGTAACACTTTTAACAAATTCATAAATTTTAAAATCACACGAGCTTGTAGTTCTATGGGCCCTAGGCCTAGTGAGCTTTCTGGTGTTTCCTGTTCTCGAGGGCGATTTCGAAACCGTCGGTCCTTTTGAGGATGATATCAGCCTGCAGCTTCCATTTGTTCATCGGTTTGCCTTCCTTGACTCTGAAGTTACGCAGGATGTTGGCGAGAAGGATCTTGAGCTTGAGCATGGCGTATTTTCTACCTGCAATCACAAATAAATAGTTGAATATTTCGATTTTTTGATTTTTGGTTTTAAAGACGTACCGACGCAGCTCCTCGGACCGGCGCTGAACGGAATGAAAGAATAATAGTGCCTGGAGGTGGAGTTTTCCGGTAGGAACCTGTCTGGATCGAATTCCTCCGGGTTCGGGTAGATGTCGGGGCGACGGTGGAGTTTGAAGGTTCCGATCGTAGCCGTACATCCGGCCGGGAGGACCAAATCGCTCGAAGCTAACAATAATAAAACACTAATCAAACTGATCTAAATTAAAAACAATCTTAATTCAACTTTTTACCCAATTTAATATCTTGCTCGAGTTCTCTTCCGATAATTGGCACCGGTGGGAAAAGCCTTAGGGTTTCCATGATGCACCTCTCAAGATATTTCATTTCAAGGGTATCTTGGAAAGTTACATCCCTGTCTGAGTCGCCGAAAATCTCGTCGATCTCCTCCAAACATTTCTCCTGCAAATTGTATTTTTTTCAGTTTGTCAAGTAATAATTTAACGTATTTAGTGTACTCTTTTGTATAACAAATTACTTATTTTATTCACCAATAAATAGAATAATGAGGGAAGGAAATAAGATATGTCCAAATATTGATTTTTTTCATCTAAACATTTAAATATATTTAAACATAAATTAAAGGCAATACTTTTATAGATTGTTTTGAAATAAATATAATTACAATTAATTAAGGTTTTTAGTTGAGATAAAAAAGTCAATGGCACGAGCGGGATTCGAACCCACGATCTTCGGCTAGATACGCCGCTGCTCTACCACCTGAGCTATCGTGACCTTGATCCACTCGGACATCAACTTCCCATCTCAACCCCACCTTTTGAATTTTCCCTCCTTTTTGCCATATTTCAGAGTGGATCGAGGTCACGATAGCTCCAGTGGTAGAGCAGCGGCGTAAGCCGAAGATCGTGGGTTCGAATCCCGCTCGTGCCATTGACTTTTTTATCTCAACTAAAAACCTTAATTAACTGTAAAATAAGTTAAATTATGGTGTAATTAAAGGGATTCTAAACTCCGGCAGAAGGCGTTTTGCTATAATTGAAATTTGCTGTAACTATTTTTGTAAACAATTTCTTTTATTAATAATAAATGTATTTTTTGTTTGATCCGCCTTCCCTTGTTCTAGATATTCTTGGATTGCTTATGTTGCTTGTGCATCGGTCGTGGTTTCGAGCGTGTAGGTTGTGATTTGTGTGTATGGACAGTGCAGAGGATTGGCCTTAGGATACTCCCTTGCGGAACGCCAGCCGCCAGAAAATTCAGCGCTGTTTCTCACCTCAGAACATGAGGGACTTCAGGACATGGTAGTAGTTTGGGTGAAAAATAATTTTAATTTGACGAGGCCGGGTTCAAACTCTGTCAAATGCCACTGTGACCAAATTCTATTCCACTATTGTGCAAGAACAGGAGTTACGTTCAAAATGTAATTTAAGTGTGCTATTCCTTGGCTCCTTAAAGAGAGGGTGTAGGCATGCCATATACATGAGAATTGTGAGAACGGCAGCGAGTATATAATACTTTATAGATTTCTCGTGTTGTGTTTCTTTGAGTATGTTTAGCCTGAATATATTTATTAGCGTGATAGTGCAGTGTGATAGAGTCGATGGTGGAATATTGATTACCGCATCGACTCTCAATTAGATTAGTTATATAATATGTGTACAGTATGATAGAGGAATATCAACTACACCACAAGTACAAGCCACAAGTACAAGGCATATCAAGTACCAATTACAAGACATGTTCTTGAACAACGTGTAAACTAAAATCTTTCGGAATTATTCCTCTAAGTAAAGTTGAACTTTTTAAGGAAAAATATTACTTTTACGATTATTCTTTAATAATTGTCAATTTAGGACAAGCACTTACATTTTTGGTTCTCTTGCGTCCTAGATTAATACAAAAAGTCAGTGCTGAAAAACACTGGTCGGAAAGGGTTGTTCTACTCACAAACTGGACATAATTTGGTTTATATATCCCAGTTTGTGAGCAAAACTATCCTTTTCACCCAATGAATTGGTATATTCAATCCTCTCGCCATCAATTGTTTCTAGTTGTAAGAAATTTTGAAAAAAAGCCAAAACCGAGAATTTTACCACATTATATTTTTACTATTAAATAAATCATATAGATTCTCCTTTTGAATAAAAAAAATCTAATTTACTTTCTAAGATTACTGTTTGGAACTGTAATAATCGTCAATTTCTCAATAAACAAATTTAACGGTTAATATTTTACCTGGATGTCTTGTCTCGCGCCCATGATTGACAAGAAAAAGCTGCTTCCTGCTGCGGTCGTGTCGTGACCCTGTAAAAAGTTGAATAATTATGTTAATCATTACATACGTATTTTAATAATTTATGACGATACAAGTAGAAACGAATTAAAAAAATACATTACAAAACTATGCTTTCAGAAGCCACAGAATATACTAAAAATAAATGAACATTTCTGTTTCAAGTAGGAATTTTTATATCGATGGAGACAGTAGCGAACTTTCACCCAATGTGCAACTTTCATGTTTCGATGCTTTAGAGAATTTTATTAGGTTTCGTGGTCCGCTTGAGAAAATAAATTCTTTTCAATTAATAAGGCTTTGGTTGAGATAAAATAATTCAGTGTCACAAGCGGGATTCGAACCCAACACCTTCGGCTAAATATGCCGATGCTCTAACCACTTGAGCTATCGTGACTTCGATCCAGTCGGACACCAACATTTAGTTAATAATAACATTTATAATTTTAATAATAATTTGTTTTACGCAATTTTTTTAAATTGTACAGAAATTTTGTATATTGTCTGAAAATTCACGACATTAACGCTATTATTCTTAAGAATTTCACCGTAATATAAAAGTAATATGTATTTAAAAAGCTGTCAATATTAATATAGACCTTTTTATGCAGGGTTGTGGTTGAAATGAAAAAGTTAGTCACGAGCGGGATTCGAACCCACGACCTTCAGCTAAATACGCCGCTGGTCTACCACTTGAGCTATCGTGTATATGGGCGGCATAATTATATATTCAGACAATTTAAACGAACACCTTAAACATTTAAAATCATTCTTTGAAAAACTCAAGGAACATCACCTTAAATTGCAAATTGATAAAACGGAATTTTTCAAAAGAGAAGTACTGGACGTAGGCCATATAATCTCAGACAAAGGAATCAGATCCATTAAAACTAGAAGCAATTAAAAATTTTCCATTCCGTAAACAGCAAAACAAATAAAACAGTTTTTATGCCTCACCGGCAATTACAGCAAAATGATTCAAAAACAAAAAATTGCCAAGCCCTTCACTGTCGCTTTAACAAAGATACCCAAAAACTATTGCAAATAAAGACTACCAAAAATCTTTTGAAAAACAATCTATTGCCTGACATTTCCAAACGATTCTTTATCACCACTGATGCATCTGACTTCGCCATAGGTCAACTGGCCATCAACGGTCAACAACCACTGATAGACTATTTGTAAATGTAAAAGTGTGAGAAAGCCAATAGTGGAGTATCGAGTACTCCACCACCTATTATCTATTCATCTATTTATCTGTCTACCTATCTATTCGTCTATCTACATGTCTATATTTTTAGCTATCTATTTATCATTTTTTCTTAAAATCCACGGTTTGTAGGAATTATTATCCAAAGGTTGAAAAATCCCAGGTTATCCGTGGTTGAAATATTTTATTTATTTTGTCTACTACATGCACGTTTCGGGCTTACGACCCATCATGAGCACCTAAACAAGGAAAACCTCAAGGTGCAATTGCCATCCAAAGATACACATATAAGTAATTTACAATTTTTTATAAAATAAATGTACCTAGACTATGCCATAGATACATATGGGATGGAAATATATATGTATCTAATCCTTTTTCAAAAAATTTAAAAAGATCAAAACCTAAAGTCAAAGTAGACTACTTGGCAAAAAGCGGGGTTTACCAACTCAATTGTAATGATTGTGATATTAAATATATAGGACAAAGCGGTAGAGAAATAAAAACAAGAGTAAAAGAACACTTGCCTAAATCGAGCAAATTTTCGGAATTTAAGGACCATCTAAAAGAAACAAAACATAATTTCAATTCAAATTTAAATACAAGAGTGTTACATAGTTTCAACAAAGGGAAAGAACTAGATTGGTTTGAGAAATTTGAAATTAAAAAATGTAAAATTGAACATGGTGATAAATGCATTAATAATATAACAGATTTTGATCTACCTCCCATTTTAAATATGTACATAAATAATATCAAACATCCAAATAATTAAACTAATTATTTTAATTGTTATTATTTTTATAGTAATTTAATAATATTAAGTATTTACTAGTATAATATTTATTTGTGTTATAATTTCCGCGTTTCGCACGTTCAAATTGAGCGCCATTAAAAAAAATCAGCTGCTAATTGGAACGTCGCGTTGGTGGAGGTATCAGCGGGTTCACTTTGGCAATTCATGTCGAGAGACGTGGTTGCAGAAGTCCTTCAACCTGATGATGAGCTAAAAGGCTCGAAATCCGGATCGTTGCAAAACAACTTACTGTGAGTAGGAACTATCTTTTTAAAAAGGATTGAACACCACATTCACTCCATCATTTATCATTTATATATGTATCTATGTATATATGCTGAAGATGGCACGTAATCCCGAACGCCATATAATAGACAAAATAAATAAAACATTTCAACCACGGATAACTTGGGATTTTTCAACCTTTGGATAATAATATCTATTTATCTATCCGTTTATCTTCCATCAGCCTATTTGTGTATTTATCCGTTTATCTATTTTTCTTTCTTTTTTATATTCAATTATTTACCTATCTATTTTTCCGCCTATCTGTCTATCTGTAAACCTATCTATAAATATATATAGGACTATGTGGTTATCTATCTGCCTATATTGTATATTCTATTCCTATATATCTATCTATATATTCAATTGTCTAGACAGACAAATCTTTATCTTTCCACCTGTTTACCAGATTATTTATCTTTTAATTTATTTATCTGTCATGTCTAGCTATTTATCAATCTATTAACCTGTCTGTCTGTCTATCTTTTGATCTATCGATCTATTTAAATATTTATCTATATATCTATATAGATAACTATTTACCTATCTATCTGTTTACGTGTTTATTTATCTTTTTAATTATTTAGCTATCTACGTGAGTAGTTTTAAGGAGAGCAAGCGTTGGGACTGAAATGACCTAACTGTTGACATCCTTTGGAGCCCTGAGTTCGGGGTGGGACGGAAAAACCGGGTAGTAACCATGGACTTCTAAAACTTGAAGTAGGTGTTTCTTAGGGCTTACCGCGATAAGTCATAAGTTCGATTGTGTACACTTGTGCAGAGTTGAATTTACTCAAATCACTAATCAGTAAAACAGTGATAACAGGACTTTCTTCTTTAGGCTGAAGACTTTTGACACCGATAGAAATAATTTTTAAACTTTTACATATTTTACGTACCTATGTCTGTGCGCATGTGGTTTTTTAATGAATAAATATTTAATGATGTACAGCTTAATATCAACTTTAAATTAAAACTTTACAATTAATTAAGGTTTTTAGTTGAGATGAAAAAAAGCTAATGGCACGAGAGGGATTCGAACCCACGACCTTCGGCTAGATACGCCGCTGCTCTACCACCTGAGCTATCGTGACCTCGATCCACTCGGACATCAACTCCCCATCTCAACCCCACCTTATGAGTTTTCCCTCCTTTTTGCCATTTTTCAAATGTCGTATAATCGGTTTGGATTCTCGACGACAATTGAAATGGCGACGGAGAGCTTTAGTGAACTGTACTTCATTATATTCATTAAATTCACTATTTTCGTGGTCCGCTTGACCAATTAATATATTAATTGTAAAGTATTAATTATTAATTGCAAAACGAAGTATGATTTCACTAACAGCTCCCCGTGGCCATTTTAAATGTCGCCGTGAAACGAATCCTGATTACACATTTGAAAAATGACAAAAAGAGGGAAAATTCGAATGGTTGTACGTTGAGATGAGGAGTTGGTGTCAAAGTGGATCGAAGTCACGATAGCTCAAGTGGTAGACCAGCGGCGTATTTAGCTGAAGGTCGTGGGTTCGAATCCCGCTCGTGACTAACTTTTTCATTTCAACCACAACCTTGCATAAAAAGGTCTATATTAATATTGACAGCTTTTTAAGTACATATTACTTTTATATTACGGTGAAATTCTTAAGAATAATAGCGTTAATGTCGTGAATTTTCAGACAATATACAAAATTTCTGTACAATTTAAAAAAATTGCCTAAAACAAATTATTATTAAAATTATAAATGTTATTATTAACTAAATGTTATAAATGTTAATATTAAAAATATAAAAATGTTCTTTTATTTACATCCGGTCATAACTGAAGTATGGAGAAAATTTTAAAACTTTGCTTAATCACTGTTTATCCTATTTTTTTAGACTTAAGGATGTAAACAGTTTCTTCGATCTCGAAAATATTAAATCGTTTTATAGGCTATGCAAGACCAATGACACTTCCCTTCCATGTTCTTTGACCGTTGACTACTTAAACCTTGTGTACAATTGAACGGAGAATTACCGAGAGAAACGAATAATTTTCCATACAAAAGAATACATGAATTCTCTAAAACTTTGTCGATTCAGAAAACAATATTTCCAGGAATTTATCAGTCGGAATGATAATGAAAACTATTTTATGGTAATGTAAGTACCTCGAACATAATTGTGTTGACTTGGTTCTTGATTTCCTGATCTGTCAGACCGTCTCCGTTGTGAGCCCTTTCTATCATCGACTCAAGGAATGGTAATCTTCTTTTCTCACCTGTAATTTAAAAAACACCTCAGCTTTTTAAAATATTTGATAAAAGTTAATTATAAGTTGCCTACCGATTTCGTTGTCGTCGACGTCAAGATCGTCTTTCAGACCTGCGGACTGGCCGTAGGAGAATTTTTCGTTCGTCTTTACTTCCTCGCTGGTAACTGTGATTTCCTTTTGGGCTGGGGTCGTGAATTTGTTCTGAGCGTAGTCGTCCTTCTTTTTCTTGAAAATCTATTTGGGTTTAAACAAAAAAAAGGATAATTTTTTTATTTAGTATATTGAACACAATTCCTTACTTTATTGGTCAGGTTGAGAATGATGTTGAGGTGTTTGTCGTTTTCCTTGGCCATGCTCGTCCACCTGAAGAGGAAGTCGGGCCTGAGCCAAAGTTTCGTCTGCCTCGAGTGTAAAATGTCACACATACTGTGGAAAGATAAGATAGTAAAGCCAAAGAAAAAAAAGCACCTGGCGACTGACTGCAACCGTCTACACTCGCGTGTTTCGATGTCACACAAACGTGACATACTCACTGAAGATGGCGTAAATCCAAAACAGACGCGCAGACCAATATCCACAATCAATTTTAAAATCATATATTATAGAATGTTACAGTATCTTGTTTATTTATAAACTGAAGCGTTTTATTTATATAATAATGAAAAAATAGAGCCCAAATTTGGCTTAACAGGCAGCTATTAGCTACATTCAAGAAATTGAAAAATTAATATGATATGATGACACAATACAAAAACAATTGATTTTTTTCCGAAAAAATGTATTCAAGAGGAGTAATTATTATAGTTATTAATTAATTATTTTTATGTTAATTATGTGTTTGGCCTTTGAATCCTCAAATGTTGACGACGATTGATGTAATACAGTAAATTATGTACATATAAATGTTTGTTAAAATTAGATTTCGTGGTCCGATTGAACAAATAACATTTTTCAATTAATTATTTTTTATGTAAGGTTATTCAAAAATCTGTAAGATGCGGTCTGGTGTGACGTAGGTTTCAGAAAAACATTTTCTTTATCGTGCCAACGTTTCGATCTTTATTGAGATCATCTTCAGGGCCTGGTATTTACAAATATTGTTTACATTTAACAAATACATGTAGGACGTGGAAAAAAGTGAATTTATACAATGCAAAAAAATATTTTTTATATTCAACCAAAGTATTTCTACGCAGAAAACAAACAATTTGATTGAATACAAAAATATATATTTTTACATTGTTTAAATTCACTTTTTTCCACATCTTTCTGAACAATCATCGACTAACGGTCACTAATCACCTCACATTTATGTAAGGTATTGGTTGAGATAAATAAATCAGTGTCACGAACGGGATTCGAACCCACGACCATTTTTCAAATGCCGTGTAGTTTATTTGATTCTCGGCGACAAATGAAATGGTAACGGAGAGCTTTAGAGAAGATATACTTCATTTAACTTATTAAATTCTTTAGATTTCGTGGTCCGATTGACCAAATAACATATTTCAGTTAATTAATCTTTATGTAAGGTATTGGTTGGGATAAAAAAAATTGAAAAATAGCAAAAAGGCGGAAAAATTCGAAAGGTAGGTTGAGATGGGGAGTTGATGTCCGAGTAGATCGAAGTCACGATAGCTCAAGTGGTAGAGTATTATATAGTAGTAGTAGGGAGTATCTAAGCCGAAGGTCGTGGGTTCGAATCCCAATCGTGACACTGACTTTTTTATCTCAACCAATATATTATATAAAGTTTGTTAAAATATTATATTATTAATATTTTTGCCCATCTACAACTCGGCCGTCCCAGGACTCGATCAGAGGGCTACGTCCAAATTATTTTAATTTCAAAAACTAGGAAGGGTGTAGCTTACACGCATTTATGGCCGTTTCGTTGAAGAAGGCTTCATAAACTAGGGTATAATTAATTGTAACATACATGTTTATTATTAAATCTTTTGATATGCCAGAAAGAAATAATGATATCTCTCCTTAAATTCTTTAATGTAAAGCATTAAATTATGAATATGTAAATCAAACTGAAGCATAAAATTTAGAATGTACAAAAAAATTCTCTCTCGTATTTAAATCAAGAACATGTTTTATAATATAATTAAATGCTTTTTTTTAAAAAAAAATCTCAAATAAAAAGACTTACTCCATGACTGACATAGCGTAGGTCAAGCAGTTCCTGCCCTTACTCGCCTGTTTAACACCCATTACGGTTTCTAAAACGTCGTAGCATTAAAAATCACGTCATCATCAATTCACTTGTTTATTCTATGCCTACCTAAAAGTGTTTCCACCATGCATTCGCTCATGTAGTCGTGGCAGTCGAAAGGTTTTCCGTTTTCTTTCGCCATCCTGGAAATAACGCACTTCGAGTTTTTGTTGAATTCGTCCATGAACCTTTTGAGCACGTTGAGGTGGAAGGTTGGCGCGATCATTTTCCTGTGGGTCTTCCAAGTGTCGCCTGGAGAATTTTCCATTATATACTTCAAAAATCTGCGGTTTTCGGCGGGTTGTTTTTTCCTTACCGTTACTGATCAAAAGGCCGTTTCCAAACCATGGCTCGAAGAATTTGTACTCGTTGGATTTTTTCAGATGGACCGAACTGCTAAGGATAATCTACACCGATTTCAATAATTAAGTTTTATCAATTTATTTGAAATAATTTTAATTTTGTGTTGATACTTACTTCTATATCTTTAGGATTGACTAAAATTACAACGAGTCTCGGCCCTAACCAAAGTTTTGCCAGGTCTTGAAATTTGTCTTGAAAGCTCATTTCGTAAAGAGTCTCGAGTATTTCTAAACAGGATAATCAATCACCCTTATGGTTTTTTTTTAAAGGAAGGAAAAATAACGACTTACTGTTATGACTTAGGGCGAAGGTGAGGGTGTTGCCCAGGAGCGGCAGGCCAGGCTGCCCCGGAAGTTTCTCAGCCAGTTCATAAAGATGTTTTCTTCCCTGCCTCCAGTTGATGTAGTACAGAGTGGCCGCCGCTACCACTAAAAGTGTGAATATAAGAAACATTTTTTTGTGTGTGAAGAATCGCTCGTGCACTGTCACTCGACGAACCGCAGCCAAGTCTCACGCCTGGCTCGTTTAATGTTAAATTTATAACATCGTTCCCTCCTTTCCCTCCTGGGTCATAGTTTAACCGAAGCTACAATGTATGCAAATCGTATGAAAAAAAACATTATGATAATGGATAGTCGGCCCGGAAGGATATAAGGACGTTCTCGTTTCAAAATTTTTTGGGACTGTCCCAGTTCTGCTTTCTATTACGATTTACACTTTTTATTGCGCAAAATTAATACCATATATCTATAATCTATCTATGTTTTATACAGAAAAGGACAGAAAAATATTATTTACCAAAACTAAGAGTTATACCCTACTATGGTTCAACAGTTGGCAAGAAATAGAAAAATCCCTTAGAAAAAAACAAAAACAATCTGTTTCTAGTTTAAAAAAATTATAAGCCTCAAAATAGAGAAAATACCTCTAAAAACCACCCCTGGTAAACCAAAAAATGTAATAAAATAAATATTAGAAATAAAAGAATTTTTATCAATACTTGTTGAGGTTATTATTGATTATTTAGAATAATTTTTCTTATTTGAGAGAACATGCGATGATATTGATTATCTTATTGTGTTAATGCCTATAAATTTTTACTTTTAGATATGTAGAGATAGGGATAGATAGAGGTAGAGATAGATAGAGAGAAAGATAAATAGATAGGTAGATAGATAAATAGAGAAAGAGAGAGGGAGAGATAGAGGGAGAGAGAGAAAGAAAGAAAGAGAGAGAAGGAGGGGGAGAGAAAGAGGAAGAGAGAGAGAGTTAGTCTGTAAGTGAGAAAGAATTAAAAAGAGGATAAAAAAGAAGAAAAAGAAAAAAATATGTTCAAAAGAAAGGGAGAAAGTTAAAGAAGGGAATAAAAAGAAGAAAGAGAAAAAACATATTGAGATTGATTGATTGATAGCACTTTATTTGGCCACGCAGAATAAGGTCTCTTGGCCATCTCTTACATCTAACTTGGGTTATAATTTATATATAAACATAAACGTGATAATATAAAAACATTAACGTATATTAACATAATATTCAGGCTTACATATTTTGATGAATTATGTAAAAATATTATTTTATGACGTATCATATTTGGTAACTTACAGGTGGGATAGTAAATGTGAAAAGTGAAATGCAATACATAATCATTTTTCAACAGAATGGCTTAGCAAAAAATGTGAAAATAGCTTAGCAAGAAAAAAAATTTGTAATAGTATTCTCACGGGTGCGTCGGTGGCCGCAAGGTTTAGTCTTTGACACGGCGCTCATCACTGTAAGGTAAAGGTCCCGGGTTCGAATCCAGCGGCCCTGCATTCGAACCCGACATACTTACAAATGGGCTTTTTTTCAAGAACACCGGCACCCTGAGGTTATATGATCTCTGCTGTTGCGAACCCTTATTAAAAAAAATAAAAATAAATAAATAGTATTCTCCCCAAAACAACCTCGAATAATTTTTTTTAAAATCATAATTTTTATCTTCTAAATGCCTCCGATTTTTTAGGTCAGATGGAGTTTGAAATCGATAGAAGTAAATATATCTACAGAAAGATAAATGTATAGAAAGCGATGGATAAAGCGGGAGAGAGAAAAAGTGGAAAATTTTTATTTAGGGGCCTCTAGAGATGCTAAAACGAAATTTCATATAACTTTTTCATATAAACTTTATGACCTAGTTTACTTGAAAAATATTTGCTTTTTAGATATTTTTTGATTATTGATAAACTTTGATAGCTTTTACTATGTTTGTAATGCAATCTGCATAAAAAATGCTGTAAAATGATATATTCACATAGTAGATTTGAGCAAGTAGAACGGCGAAATAAAAATATACATCAGCCAAAATTTCAACTTTCAAAAAAAAAAATAAATAAATAAAAATGGCTAAACCAATATCTATTCACAGGAAATTGCGGATACGTGTCCAATATCCCACCAACCTGGTCGGCCCTTGTTAGTAGTTAAAGACAGAGAAAATAATTTCCAAACAAAAAACTTTTTCAATTGATTCAAACTGTTGCCACCCCCAATCCTGGCAGACATTACAATGGCTGGAACGGCAAACAGCGTCAAATAAACTGAATTTCACTTTGATTGGAACGACATCATTTGACATTAGTGACGGCCAAGTTCTGTATGAAGCGATTTTGCAGTGGATGCTTTCATAGCCAAATGTTTAGTCCAATAAAGTTTGGGTGTAAAGCCACTCCCAAATATTTATATTCATTTACCTGGATCCCTTTGTCCTCAAATTTTAAAAAATGTGTACAGTATAAAAATATGAGTATTGTGTGGTGATTAGTGACCGTTAGTCGATGATTATTCGGAAATCGTGAGATGCGGTCTGGTGTGATGTAGGTTTTAGAAAAACATTTTCTATATCGTGCCAAAGTTTCGATCTTTATTGAGATCATCTTCAGGGCCTGGGATTTACAAACATTGTTTAAATTTAACAACTACATGTAGGATGTGGAAAAAAGTGAATTTATACAATGCAAAAAAATATATTTTTTAAATTCAATGAAAGTATTTCTACTCACTCAAAGTGTTTAGTATTTAGTATTTACGCAGAAAACAAACACTTTGAGTGAGAAGAAATACTTTGATTGAATTTAAAAAATATATTTTTTTGTATTGTATAAATTCACTTTTTTCCACATCCTACATGTATTTGTTAAATTTAAACAATGTTTGTAAATCCCAGGCCCTGAAGATGATCTCAATAAAGATCGAAACGTTGGCACGATAAAGAAAATGTTTTTCTGAAACCTACATCACACCAGACCGCATCTCACGATTTCTGAATAAATATGAGTAATGCTTGTAAAATAATCTCTTCAAGTTAAAAATTTTTAATCAGCTACAGAAATTATATTTTCACAGCCTGAAATTATTGTCTGACCTGCACTCATTAATACTGTTTGAATATTCGAATATGTATTATTCATTTTTCAGATTTTTATGTTAATACGCACGTGTTTTTTATACGTATTATTTACATGGTAAAAGTTAAAGCCCGTCTATGTAGAGAAGCGGGGAATTTTAATATTGTTAATATTGGTGTTTGTATAAAAATAAATCTTTCTAGTATTGAAAAGTTAATGTACACCCAGTATTAAAATCAAAATTGATATTGAAAAAAAAAATCATCACAATACGCTTCTATCAGCAGTTCACATTCATCTGCCTCCTACTGAAAAGAATTCTTCCAGTTCTAAATATAATCTACATAATCCCAGACCATCAATTTGGTTTTCGCAACCGTCACTCAACTGTCCATCAGTGCCACCGCGTGGTAGACATTATTTCCTCCTCCGTTGAGATGGTGGACAGTACTTTTCGTTACAGTTCGGCACCCGGACCTGGTGTTGATGCTCAAGGGAATCCTTGCATCCACCTACTATCTCATATAGCATAGGTACATCACTGACCGCCCTCTTCACATTGAGGTCAAGGTCTGAGCACTAATCAGCTGCTACAGATTAATTCGCGAGGGCAGATGGAATCAAAAGTGCAATAACATAGGTCACTCGAAAATCTCACAACTACTGAGGAAGGCTAACGACCAATTATTAAGCGTTAGTGATAAAAAGATTAAAATTTCTTCGGGGAAAACGCACTTTCAGGTAGTCACTTATCAAAGGTAGGAAGAGTGGTGCAGGAATATACATACCAAAATTAGGAATCAGCATCTCCTCCCAACTTGGTAATAACACCTCAGTTTTTCAGGCGGAAATCTGGGCCATTAATGTGTGTTGCAGAACACTTATGGAAAATAAAATTAAGGGAAAATATATTAGAATTTTTGCTGACAGTCAGGCTAGTCTTAGGTCACTACAAAAAGATTTGTCAACCTCACGACTGGTGGAGGAAACAGTAGATTTTATCAATAGGATCTCTACCAGGTTTGAGGACAAGGTAATCCTTATTTGGATACCAGCACATAAAGGACACTATGGCAATGAAAAGGCGGATAGCCTGGCCAAAGAAGGTTTTAATACTGCGTTTGTTTGACCACAACCGGGATTACCTCACTCTATGAGCACAGCGAAAGAGAGTATCAACCACTGGGGCAGGAAACAATTCCTTATGGAATGGAATCTGTCCCCCGGACACAGGCAATCGAAGGAGTTTGTTAAGGTAATCAAACCAGCAGAATCGAAATGGCTATTCTCTAACTCAAGGAAGGGAATTAGGAGGCTGATAGGTACCCTGACGGGCCATTGCCCACTGAGAAGACACCTCTCCGTAATGGGTATTCTGTCAGAACCCTTTTGCCGTTTTTGCGAAATAAAATAAGAAAGGGCAAGGCACTACCTCGCAGAGTGTGTTATGTATGCTACGTCTAGATTTGAAATATTTGAAGGAGAGGTCATCACCAAATCACTCCCCGAGATTAAATGGTCCAAAATCTTGGGGTTTGTGAACAAAACTAAGAGGTTTATGCAGGACACGTGAGCTGACCAAGTCCCGGACCTTTTAGGGATGGGGTACGGGTCTACTCAGGCATTTAACCCCTCGGGTCTTGGTCGCCCACCCTGCATAATATATATATATATATACATCACTGACCGATTCTTACAAGTCATCGAAGGCCATTCCCTTTCTGCATATTTCCCTGTCCATGCTGGTGCTCCTCCCCACACTACACCACAGCTGTCATTACATCCCGAAACCACCACATTCATATTTGTAGACGATACAGCAAACCTACGACGATACCTCTAGCAACTTCGACCTTGTCATTTCCACTCGAAACCTCCAACAACACCTCGTACTACTAGAGTCTTGGTGTGAAAGAAAAGGATGAAATATAACACAGACAAATCCACCCATTACCTTCATTCTCAGTAAGAGATCTCCCCCCTGTTTTCTTAAATAATATTCACCTTCCAACTGCGGACAAGGTTCGGTACCTCGGACTGTACATCGACAAATGCCCGACGTTTAATCCTCACACACGACTGAAACATCAGGTGGTTATGACACGACATAGAGCACGACATCTTGACAAATGTTCTAA